CAGAGAAGGGCAACAAAGCTGGTGCAGGGTCTGGAGCAGCTGAGGGAACTAGGATGGTACAGTCTGGAGAAACGGAGGTTCAGGAGAGACCTAAACGTCCTCTACAACTCCCTGAAAGTAGTGAGGTGGGGGTTGGCCACTTCTCCCAGGTTAATACAGCGGTAGGACAAGAAGGAATGGCCTTTAGTTACACCAGAGCAGGTTCAGGTTGAATATTTGCAAACATTCATTTTCAGAAGGCGCAGTGATGCAATGGCAGAGCTGCCCAGGAAGGTGGGGGAGTCAGCATCCATGGAGGTGTTCAAGAAACATGGAGATGCACTGAGGGATGTGGTTTTGAGGGCATGGTGTGGGTGGGTTGGGGTTGCACTAGATTGTCTTAGTGATCTTGTCAACCCTTAATGGTTCCATGATTATAAAATCTGTAAAAAATCCCTTCCAACCCAAGCCATTCTGTGATTCTATGATTCTGTGCTTTTCACAGCGTGGACACTGCCCTTCCTTCGGGCTGCTCACCCACCTGCATGCTGCACCAGACCTGCATGGTGCAAGCCTCCTCCCCAAAGCGTTGGCTAATGTTCAGTTTTTGTAACTGTTCTTTCAACAGTGACGATTGTCAGCCATAGCAGTCTCACTAGGCATTTGGTGATTTGCTCTGTACCTCCTTAAGACAGATCATTTTCTGGGATTCAGGAAAAAAAAAAAAAGTAATATTATTTCTTCCTCTCTTTTTTTGCATAAGCAACTGCCCAGCAAATTGATAAGAGCCCTTTTTAATTAGATAGTGAAGTTGTATGGGTAATGTTCCATATAAAAGGTCTATAAAACACAGCAGAATTAATAAAATGATTGCTTCTCATTTAAATCAGGTCCTCCAAAGGGATCCGTATGTCTTGCTTTGGTGTGTTTGTGGTACTTCTCTCTTCCATCCAGCCATGAATTGATTAAAATCACATTCCTCACTTAAAACTGGAGCCCAGTTGGTAAGAGATACTGGAGAGCAATTAAGATCTGTGTGCAGACACACGAACCCCTCCCCACTCTAACCCCATAAAATACACACCGAAAGGAATCACTGTGCATTGCTTGGATTATATGCAAACACAGCTCATGTTGACAGCTACCTCTGGATGACTCCATCAGTGCACACTTTATCTCCAGCTGTCCAAGTAATTTTCCCAGGATTTCGCCCCTCTTTTTCACTCCTCTCCACACAGATGGATTAGAGCAACAAACAGTTTACATGCTGCACATCATTAGCTATCCTCCCTCACTACCCAGCAGATAACAACTGGGCTCTATCATCAGGACATTCATAACACCTTGACACTTTTACAACTACACTATTCTCTGCCAGAGCAATCTTCTCTTTTAAAGCACAGAGCTAATTCACCAAACACCCATTGGAAAGTGCTCTGCAAAGGCAACAGGGGTTGGAGAGAGAAGAAAAAGCACAGCCCAGAGCAGGCATCCTGTAAATAACATGGTTAGCACTGTAGGAAATCAGTCTGCCACAGCCACTCCTAAAGATTTGGATGGGAAAAACCATATGGATAGGATTGGTCTTGTGCTTGGGTCTGTTTTCCATTTGGGGTGAGGGAGCAGCTCACTGCTTAGAGAGTTTCAAGCCAGATTGAGCTTGGGCTGAGTGCCTTTGAGGCACTTATCCTTTGGCCAAAAGCATGTTGAAGGCCAGCCCAGGCTCAAAGGGCTGAGGGCGTAAACGCAGCTGTTTAGGAAGATCTTTGCAATCCCAGTCCCATGGGATTGCCCCATCACCAAACTGTAAGGCATTGGTTTTGCCACCAGCTAGGCTGGTTTTCCCAAACTGCCTCCAGACTCAGGGCTTGCATCGAGAACAAAACACAAGCCTGAATCAGCCACTCTGCATGGAAAGAAATATGTCAAATTCTAGCAGTATTTTCCAAGCTTCTCAGCATGCCCCCCTGCTGCCCCTCACCATATATTTTAAAGTATGGTACACGCTTGTTTAAAAAAGAAATACATAAGGAGAAAGAGTAATTACCGTAGCTTAAATTCAGCCTGATAAGAAGGACTTGCACAGTTTGAGCAGCTGTTCCACTGCCATTCAGATTATGAAAATATAATCCTAGAGAACCTTGTCAAGATAAATACAGAGCATGAAATGTATAGGCATTTTTTCCCCTGCTGCATATAATGATCAATTCCAAAGCCACAAGTGATACCAAAGGACAAAATAAGATCTGTCTAGACTTTCTCACTTACAAGATATTGATCATTCCAATGGTAAACTGGTTAGTATCAGTGTGTTTGGCTCGAAAGGTCATGAGCTTAACACCTGACAAGGAGTTATTCAACCTTGATGTAAGTCAAATTATTGCAGTGTTGCTGGAAAGACTTTCTTTAATAATAAAAATACCTACCTGCTCTGAAAACATCTGAAATTTGTCTTCCAGATGTCAGAAGAAAATTATAAAAATTGAAAGCAAAGACTTGGCATGGTTTTTTGCTGGTTCCTCTCTATCCGGTCCCCACAGTCAGCTCCTTCCTGGGCAGACCATGGGCACTGCCCACAGCACAGAGAACACCTCCATTCCCATAGGACAATTGAGAGCTTGCTTGTTCATAAACATAGACTGGATAAGAGCCATGACACCTATAAGGACAGGGACAAAAAAAAAAATCATCATTTGGGGGGATAACCACAGGACTATTAAGGACTTGATGCAAGTTGACTGGATCTTTTCCAAGAACTATAAATACATGCTCTCTTTTGCTTTATCCAGTTATTTTTGTTTTGCTGATATGATACCAGTTAAGGTTAATGGGGTTTGCTTTAATATCAGACGCAGGATCACTTAACTACCTTTAATGAACACCGGAGTCAATGCTTTGTGGAGTGATTCACACAGACATTTGCCTCAGGTAAATCAACCAGAAAAATGTAAGCCAGTCAAATAAATAAACCTGACTAGCTGTAAATGTGCCAAATTTTACACCAAAATATATCTGAAAGCCAATGACTTACTTAGGCACATCTAGGATATTAAAATGGAGGGTTTGGAGTCTGTTTCTTTTCACTTGCTTTTCCTTTTTAATGTCCTGCACATCCCTCCTGCACTGAATCCGAGCTGAGTGTAAAAAATTATTTTCACAAGTGTTTCTAATAGAAGCAAACGTTCTGCAGCTTTGTGCCATTTTTTATTTGGAATGAAAATGAAAAAAAAAATGCAAGGTTGTTTTTTTTGTTTTTGTTTTTTTTTTTTTACTGGCTATCTCTGTGTAGGAGAGCAAGAGACAAAGGAAGAGACAGAGAAAGGGAATTAAAAAAAAAAAGGAGAAAGAAAAAGGAAGAGAACAAGAGAAAGCAAGAGAGAGAAAACACTCACTGAGAGATTTTACCTGAGTTGGAGAAAATGGGGACAGTTACATGCTAGTTAGCTGCAGTAATGCACCAGTGCCAGTGAGTATTTATTGACCAGAAACTGATCAACTCCATAAAGCCACCAGGCAGCTTGCTTTCATACTAATGCAAAATTATGCTGATGTTGAAAATGCTTTCTCCTTCTAATATTGAAAGAGGAAACTACGTGGGAAGAAAATTGGTGCCCAGGTGTTCTTTGAAGGAAGGTCGACAACCTCTTTAAGTGTTGAGCAGTGCCAGTCATGGTGCACAGCCCTGCTCTCTTGGGCTGGGGGTGTTGGCATATGAGAGCAATTCATTTTTTGGTATGAAAAAGAAAAATAATCCTTTTGAGAAGACTGCTGCATGGGTGACAGAAGTTAATCAGTTTTTCACCCCAGACAAACTCCAGACAACCCAAGGAATTTGATTGTAACCAACACCTCAACGTGCAAGCACTCTGACCCACACCAACAAACCTTTCAGGCATTACCCAATACCATGGTCTGGTCTGTGTAGCACAGAACAGATGCAGGAGACCAGAAAGAGTTTTTTTTTCTTCTTTCCAAAAAAGCTGAAAAGAGATGTTTCTCTTGCTGCAACAGCCGTTTTTATTTCTTTATTCTGCCAAAAGTTTCAGTGCAGGAGCAAGAGCTGGCCTTGGGGTAGCAGCCTGCTGTAGAGGAAGAATGACGGGCAGGATTGCTTATTTAGGGAAGGCAGTGGCAGCACAGGCTGTGCAGCAGATATAAGCAAGGCCATATTGTTTTATTGCTGCTTTAGGAAAGGCTGCAGCGTTGGGTAAGGAAGTCAGTGAGCATCAGTGGGGAAGTCGGCAGCAGCTGAGGCTGCACTTGGGCAGAAGGTTGAAAGATGCCAAGGGCTTTGGAAGAAAGAAAAAGCCCTCATTTCCTTGGTATAAAGCTGGGTCAGCTGATTCAGCCTAGATCGGAGCGCAGTAGCTCCCAGCTTCCCCACTGAAGAAATTTAAGTTTACAGAAAGAGAGAGAGCCCTTACCTGCAGAGACTTCCACCCTTGTGCACAGGAGACTGAACGCTGTCCATCTAAGGAGAGCTCACACTGAGCTAGGGTTAGCTGGAAATGCAAGAATTAGAGTCAAAACAGTATATGGCTTTTAGGTATAGCTGTGGCATCCTCATTCCTTACCGAAGTATGGTGGGGTTTTCCAGAGGAAGATGCTAGGAGTGCTCCTCCCAGGTGACGGCGTGCCTTATTAGAACACCTATGCAGCAGCTGAGTCCATATGAGACAAATCATAAGAGACAGACTGTGAGCAATAAATCATTAATAAGGGGGGTCATTTAAGCTTCTATTAACAATGTGTCCTTCTATTTATGTGTTTATATTCTGTCCACAGAAAATGTGATGCTGGACTGATGATGGCTTAGGACAACGTTCTGGCATGAAGACAGCTACAAAGCACAAAGTACAGAAAAAAAAATAAATAAAAGAACTCAGAAAGAAACAAGAAAAAAACAGCATTCTCTTGGTATCAACGAGAAGCTCTTTATTTTTCCTCAAGTTTTCTTTTCTAAGAAAAAAAAAATAAGACATTTGCAAAAATGAGACAAACTTTCTCTTCAGGTGACAGTATTCAAGCAAGCATGTTGTTTTATTAAATTTAAAGAAAAATAGAGAAATTTGGATTGGGATACAGTATCAGGAGAACTGAGAAACTGTGAATTTTCCAAGAAAAAAACAAACTCCTTAAAACTGTGAAGTGAGAAAAGGATGAAAATACCACTTAACCCCCTGATTACACCCTGTGCGTTCTTTAGAAGACAACATCATCTTTGCTAATTCTATATTAGGGAATGGTTTATAAAGTATCTTTTATTATAATCTTTTAAGACAAAAGAAATATTTAATTAGCTGTGATTTTGACATCTCTGTTCAGAAGCCTTCTTGCACCCTCTGTTTTTAGATAGCATGGAAGTATTTGCAGCCAACAGTCAAGGGCAGGAGAGATCTCTTTCCCTAATAACCTTTTTATTCGCCACACCCTAAAAAAATCCTTGCAGGGAAAAGGAACCAACATCACCACCATATCCCGATCGATACCTACAGCCTAACAGGCAGTAATTATCAAAATAAAGAGGAAATCCCATATTGGGCTACCTACCTGACCCATTAATCAAAACAACAGAGAATATCTGTGGCACCGCGTTTCTGCAATAGCACAAAGCACGCCTCCTTGGGTTACACTTTGAACAGGCTATAATCAAAAGAAGAGAAGCACGACTAACTAAGCCCCAGGAAGCCGCATTGTCCCTTTAACCCGCCGTATTCCCCATTTCCCATTAGTACTTAACATTTTTCACTATGTTGTGACTGCTATTATTTCATTTAACACTGGTTAATCTCTATCGGAGGTATACGGAAACCCTCTAGATGATAAGATTGGACGGGCTCCAGCGCTGGCAGGTTCCGAGCGTGCGGGGCGTTCCGTCACGGGGACCGCCTGCCAAGCTGCTCGCGGATCAGCCTCTCGCTCAGCTCCCAAAGGGCCGCGGCCGTCAGCTCATTGCGAGCCTCGGCCGAGGGCAGGCAGCGGCAGCAGTTGTTGAAGTACATCCCACCCAGCCCCTCCAGCTCGGCGGCCGTCGCGCAGTACACGGTCGTGGCAGCTCCTTGTTGCTGAAATGACAAAAGAACAAAAAAATAAAAATTGGAAATAAACCCTATATATATATAAACCTATATATATATATATACACACACACACGCATAAACGTAGATATGTTTATATAGAGAGAAATACAGGTATTTTTATCGCTGTCAATTTGCTTGCAGTCTGTCGGAGCTGTGCATCTTTAGGAGAGCATCTCTAAACGCACTGCAACCAAAGCATTGCTAAGGATGCTGCTGCCTCTCTGCCTCCCAGCCACTTATCTACGACACCCTAATGAGAAGTTATTTTCTCCTTTTTATTTGCTCTTAGAGTGAAAGAAATAATCCAGAATCTCATTACCTGATCTCTGCTCTTTTGCTATTTTTCAACAAACCCTGGTGGGTACTGAAAAAAAAGCCTAAAACCCAAAAAGTTGATCCAAGAAACCAGAAAAGTTGATCCAAGTTTCAAAGCAGCACCTAAAAGCTCCCTTCCAACCTCCAAACACGGGCACCACCATTTCCTAACCCTGGCAAGCAGTTCAAACTGACGGGTGCATCTATTTTGGTGGGTTGGTTTTTTTAAAGCCTCTTGTACAAAATTAACCTGGGCACTCCAATTAAGACCTATCACGTAAAATGCAATCGGGCTTTGTGCCAAACCAGCCCATCTATCTCTGATCAGTGGTTTTGCTGCGGCCACTGTCACCACTGCTGTGCAAGTATGTTTATTTGCCAGTTCTGCACAGACGCAAGCCTTTCCAGTCTTCTGTTTTGTTTTTTAATTCTCTAATAACCGTTTTCTCATGTCTTACAATGCTTTAAGAAGCAGGTATATTACATGCTTCTGTGGAGCAGAGGTGGTTGGTTTTTTTTTCCTTTTTCCTTCTTTTATTTTTTTAAACACAAAGTGAACTTATGTGATGAATGGGCTTCTCTGAATTTCTCCAACAGAAAGCCAGAGCTGGAGGGCATGTGGGCAGCAGTGGGTACACCCCAGGGATGGGGCACTCAGGGCTGCAAGCACAGTGCCAGGAGGGATGCAAAGAGAGCGTGAAACTGGCTGCCTTTGTAAACTGTAATTAAAAATAATAGGTGAGAGCGCAAAGCAAGACACTGCGCACAATGCTAATTTAAAACCGATAGTTTATGTGGCATCTTGTGATTATTTATGTACATCTTAGTCCTTTCTGTGGTAACTCATTATGACCTGATAGGAATCAAAATAAAGAAGCTGCCAAGTATGATAGAAAAAGTAAACAAAGAGAAATTAGACGTTGCCACGTTAGGATAATTTAATGGGAAAAGAGAATGAGCTTCAACCTCTTGTGACTTTCCTGCAGTTGTTATTTTTTCCCCAGCCTTTCAGTGTCATGAACAGGGAAACTCAGGGCGCTGTTAGGGGGGTCAGCCTCCAAAAACTCTACTCTGCATTCTCATCCTTCAAGGGCAGCCTTTCTAAAAAACCTCAGTTCCCTTAATTGAGGTGTCTCAATTTTGTAACAGCAAAGAAAGGCGTATTTGTCTGCAAGATAGGCAATTTTCTCAGAAGATGGGATTAAACTGATAATGATGGCTCCACGGCTTAGGAATGATCTCCCATAACAACGTAAACCAAACCTGTCTGTATTAAGGCACATATTTATCAGCAGACCAAAATATTTTTAAAATTACTATAATGCAAAGCAATCCTCTTATTAAACCACTATATTTTTTAAAAAAGAGAAAGTATCTTAAAGGCAGTAGCAGAAATGTAAGAGTTCTACTAAAGATAATATAAACAGAGAACAATAATACACTCATTTGAACTATCTTGTAAAGCTCCACAGCAAAGGTATGTTTACTGTATTCAGCTGTTTAGAATAACCCCCAAAGAGTGTTATTATTAATTTTTGCAAGCAATTCAACTGGACTTTTATTGGAAAGGTAAAATTAAACTGAAGTGCTCATTGCAGAATGAGAGCCCTTAAGCTTTGCTGTCCAGCCAAGCCAAACTCAGGCTAGCTTGAAGAGAACTCAGCTAATTCATAAAGGAAAGTTTATCGGAGCAGTTCAAAATCAAACCAAACAATAATTCATCTTTTCAAATGAGTCAAATTTGATGATTCTTATACAAAATTCTCAGCAGGCAGAGAACAACCTACAGCACAACGGCAGCGCTTTATACCTCCAACACTGACACAACCCCAACTCCAAAAGAAGAGAACAGTTTTCCCTGTATGCGTGTAAGATATTTACTTTAAGTGATAAAAGATTATGTGGCTGGAAGCCCAAAGCACTTTATCATATGATGCCTCCAGTGTTTCACTGAGGACTGGATGTAAGCAGTGTGCCATTTGCTTTTTGGCTGTGTATATCTTTACATCTTTCTAAGTGTTTCAATTGTCCTGAGTGGTTTGGTAGAAGAAAGTTCAATTGGTCTCACATAGGAAGAAAAATACGCCTTCTTTTTATTATTTAAGAAAAATGCAGTCTTATTTATCTCTTTGTTGACAGAGGGTAAAGCTTAAATATCAGAGAATAACGGACAAATGTGAACTCATCGAGCCTAGGAACTTAATGGTAACAAAAATGAGAAACAGAAGGTAACTCTCAGGTTCCCAAAGCCATTCAAGCATCTAAATTCCTTTGATGAATGCAGGATCTTAAGTGACTCACCCAGGGACAGAGGGGACTCAATAATGCTCTGGGTCGGGTGGGATGTTGGGAGGTCGCCATCCCAACAGGATCCAAGAAAGCCCAGAGTGACCATGCCATATGGGAAGGTCCTTGTGCAACAGACCCCTGCTTGGCATCAACCTCCCCAAAAGAGGCGGGGCTGTGGATAACTGCAGAGCCAATGTAGAGTTGGGCTGAGAAAATGCTGAGTTTCTCAGTAAATATTGTTTAGCCTTTCTGAACACAGTCTTTTGAATGACATCTTTATATGCCGGGCCTTATGACAATTTAATAACAAGTTTTAATTTTTTTGCTCATCAGCTTTCCTGTTCACATATCATCAGCATACGACAGCGGAGGATGGTAGGGAATCTAATTAGTAAACAATTCCATACTGCTGATACAAGATGAAACATTCTTAAACCGATAAAAAGAGCACTTTAATCACTGTTGAATGACTTTCAATGCCAAGCGGTTTGTGCCATGTCAGAACATAATTTGAAGAAGATTAGAGTACTATATAAAAGAATTAATGTTAACAACTTCGTTAAAAAACGTCTTAAACAATGAGCTTGTCAGTTGTCACAGGCTCTCCCTGATCTATTGTGATTAACGTCCCCACTCCCAACAATTTAAACCAATAAACAATGCTAAAAGCTCCGGGCAACCTAAACATTTTTTTTCCATATGTCTGTCAGTTGTATATGGTGCTAATCACCCGGGCTGGGGGTCAGCTGCCTTAACCCTAACAAAGGCAGCGAGTGGGGATGATGAATACGTGGGATAAAGAATTTGTGAGAAGCCCAACTGAATCTTTAATCATGCCTCAATGCTATTTCCGATCGCGGCAAACGTCTGAAAGCTGCTAGGCAAGCACCACGCCATCAATCTTCCCAGTGTACGTAAAATTACCCAGGAATCTTGTTTTGGATTAAGTTGAAGAGCGTCTTAGTAATAAGGGTTCATCATTCTCCTTTGCAAATCATTTGTCAGTTTTGTAATACAATCTTAAACTGCAGCAGGGTGGGATTTGTAAAGCCGTTGCTGTTTATTTATAGTTGAGGCTCAGAGATCTAAATTATCCATCCTCCCAAAATCCTTTGTTGAGATAAAAGTACGAAGTAGCTACTAGTTCATAGGCGTTTATTTCATAACTGTGAGCTATCAATTTGTAACTGACAGTACTGAATTCAAATGAATATTGGATACCTTAACAGTAAAAGAAGAGGGGTTCCTGATGTACGGCATATGGTAAATCCCTCATTAATATATATAATGCATCCGTTAGTATTCTAAGATACTACTTACGTTCCTGATAAGAAAACATATTACACAGCTAATGTTTAGTTTTCAGATTTGTCCGCTTTCAAATGCATGTTTATTTTCTAAAATTAGATCCTTGTTCTGAAGCAGGTTTACATAGGAAGCATATAAATATTAGAAACAAAGCCATAACTTATCTGTATACTCATCACCTACAAACTAATAAGATCACTCTACACTCTGTTAAGGGAGCTGCCTACCAGCGAGATGGAATGAGATTCTCTGAAATGGAGTTATTCATTTTATTACAAAAAATTAAGCATTGAGGCCCGTTATCTGGGTAGCCTGAGGTGAAGTTTAGCACAGTGCATCTTAAACGATGGCCGGTGGAGGGAGGTGAATTCACAATGACACAGGAAGAGAGCAGCTTTGACAAGGTCCAGATTCAAAGTTAGAAGCTCCAGAGAAATAAAAAGGCAAGTGCTTCCTTACAACTCTTCAGGCTTTTACTGTTAACCACCTCAGGACTATCAGACCAAGCAAACACAGCGCTAGCACAAAAATTTCAGCTCAGCACAACAGTCTATGCATCACTGAGAGTGGAACCACTCACTACACATACTGCAGTGCATGGGCTCTCCCACCCTTTGCTGTGCCTGTGGGAAGTACCCCGAGTGTTCAGATCCATGCTAGAGCAGGGTAAGTTTGCCTGATATCTTCAGCCATGGTCATTTCCTGCTTTAGTGTGAAAAAAAAGCCCCAAGCTCTGGCCAGCCTCCCGGAAGGGAGCTGCACTAGGAATGCACTTGTTTCCATTTGGGATCTCCAGCAAGTTTTAGCCTCACACAGGAGATTATAGGAGAACTGTTTGGTTCCTGCTGCAGTCCTCTTACTCAGAGCAATCTCAGATGCACTGTTATCTTCTGAGTAACACTCACAGTATGTGTGTGCTATTCTCCTGTAAGAAAATTGGATTCCCTGATGGTTTTTTTTTTCAGCAAGGAAATAAGAAATTGAGACCTGCCTTTGCTCGTTTGGGTGAGTATGATAAACCAAAATCACAGTTGCAACTAAAAAAAATCAAACTTTGGAGCTGCCAAATATGA